CCATCATGCACTTTTTCACGAAAATCGGGCCGATTATGATCGGTGACCGATCGATCGGCACACCTCTAGTATTTAGGATTGATTTTCTGCTGGACAGTGAAAGTCCTTCCCTGTCTAAAATAGGTTTTGTTGCTGGCTTGCCCTGTCTTTAGCTTAATCCATTTTTTCCAATCCACTATGCCTGAAAAAGGTCCTTAATTAAGAAAAGCATCCCCTTATTATGATACTGCCACTTATATGTTCCACAATGGGAGCAGCATGTTCAGGGTGATGGGCAGTGCTAGTTTTCCCCAGCACATGTCTGGTGGTCAAAGGTTATCAAAAGTATAATTTTGTTGTAATCTATGAAGAGCACGTTGTTCCACATTTGCAATGTCTCCTGCATGACTTGTGCATACATACTTAGGTCTGTTTGTGCGTCTTGAGCACATGCAATTACCTGTGAGCTTCGATGCCCGGTGGCAGTGTCATCATGACGGTTAGAGGATATTAGCCCCAGCAGGAGCGGCAGATATCTCAGCACTGCCATAGGGCTGTCTAATAGTGCAGAAAATAAAGGCTGGTGAAACTCATTAAGGCTCGTTTACAATGTTTTGCTACTAAGTGCTCTAATTTAGGCATGAGACTGACTTTGGATCTGCTACTTTAGTTTGTATGCTGGTGTAAAAAAATGATTCATGTCACAGCGTAGCTTTAATCAATATATTTGTCTAACTGTAGTGAGAGTGTCCAGTTGTAAAATCATAAATCACATGTATCACCTGGACATGTCTTTTTATTTATTTATTTATTTTTTAAATTCAACTTTTAATCTGTCTGGGTACACACATTAAATCTGCTTGGGGGAACTTGAGAGACACTTGAAACCATATATTTACATACATGGAATAGAAAGATGCCTGCAATTGTTTTCTCACCTTCTGAAGGTAAATCACACCAAACCAAGTCTGGTTCATCGAAGCATGAGCAAGAAGACTGCAGCTCCACAAGTCCCTTCCTGATATCTTGGCTGATTTCTTTAGAATTTTCAATTGTGTTGAGCAAAAAAAACAAAACTCTTTGATCCAGATGTGGGCTTAAAATACATTCATAAGTGTGTCTCCAAATTAACTCTTATCCTATCAGTGGATCAGAGCTGTGACATAATCATCTGGGTTGTCCTTCATTGTTTAGAGAAACATTAATTATTTGTATGTACATTTCTGAATGAAGAAAATTGCAAGAAAATCTCTAAAAAAAAACATTCTCACTAGGTTTTTAGACATTCAGCAAATATAAATAAGTTCAATCATTTTAACTGATTTAAAACAAGAGAAGTTTCAGACATTGAGAAAAATGCATGTGTCTTTTTGTTAGGTGTATGTAAAACTTTGGTTTTCAATTCTTCCTGGAAAAAAAAATCACAAAGATTTTTTTAGTGTTTATCTGTATTGACATCTTACCATAAGACAATGTTTCAAATACTTGTCTTTAATGGAAATGCATTGTTGCATATGAATCATCATATCATCCATTCACATTGGCTCACCAGGTGCACCGGAGTATCTGGCTTTAACTTAATAAGTGAAGAGGCAATCTTGGGGCTGTGGCTTAAAATTGTGTCTCCAGGACTTGATGTCACAGTTCACACACTCCTTTTATTTGGCTTGCAGACGTATTTATACACACACACCATCTCAACAGAAATGAAAAAAACAAAAAAACAACTTATGTCACCAGACTCATGCATACTTTCATGAACAAAAGCATTCTGAGATATATGTAGTTTGTCATCTCTGAGATTACGTGAGCGGGAAATGATTTATTACCCACAGTGTTTCTCTTGGAGAAGCAATTTGCATCTTTGTGAACATGCAGGCTGCAAATGATTCCAGGGGTTAATTTAAAATGTATGTAAGAAGATCTTTGTCTGCGTTTGATTCTAGTTGTTTTTTTTTTGTTTGTTTTTTTAATGGTGTTGTGCATGTAAATTGTTTAATGCCTGTTTGCGCGTAACACTTGATTTGTTCTGCTTGTTTTTGTTCCTCAAGCAATGCATAGGGCCTCTGCCAGCAAAATAATTCTCAAACAAAGCTCTTCGCGAGTTGCTGTGAAGGACATCAGAGTTTCAGAAAATAGGCTTTCCACAAACACCAGAGACACTTCATGATCATCCATTTCTGAGGTGGGGAAAAAGAAGGCCTGTTAGAGTTGTACCTGGTGCAAAGCACATACATGGAGGCAGACAAAATAAACTTTTGCCCTGAGGAAAGATCAGTCTTCCAAAGTATTCAGACTATTGAGCCCAACTTGGAATTAACTTTTACTACATTCTGTGTATCTACAGAGTTGGTTGGACAAAGAAAAGCAAATTTTGATACCAATAATTACAAGCACACACTCAAGCACATATGTGCTCACAATCTGCATGATATAATCTGATGGAAACAAAGAGAAAAAGTAAAAATAAATGAGAGAATGAAAAAAGGGAAGGACTTAAGTCCAGAGTGAGAAATAGACTTTTATAGTTTTTATTACTTTTGTTATCATCATTATTCCAGTCTGTTTGAAACAGCCCCGAGGGAATGCAGTCTGAGACAAATTTCCTCCCCTTTCCCTCTATGCTTCAACCTTACATTTTAACTTGAACTTAATTGTGTTCCTGGAAGAGTGTGAGTGCAGGCCAACTCACAAACCAGCTTTTTGTATGTCTGCATTGCAAATGGGATTTTTGTATGTCTGCATGTGTGTTTTGTGAAATTTCAGTGGGGATTTGAGTATTATCCATAACACTGCAGGGCAATTTGAGTCCTCGAAGGGCACTCTGTGTTGTGAAAGAGCGGAAACACTTTGCCTTTGCCAAGCTCTCACCTGGACAGCTCTTCAAAGCTCTCTTCTCATAGCTGCAATCCTGGAGCGACTGGCACGGGCAGAAATAGCAGCTTGATGGCCAGACATGTGCAGCCAGCTCCAACCAAGGCATCTGCTAAAAAGGAAAAAAAAAAAAGTGGGGGTGGTACTTTAATAGCAAAGCAGAAAAATTTATCCAATGTCACTTTCTGCTCAGGAGTAAAGATTGGCTGAGTTAAATGTCTATTTCAAGATCATTTTAATCATTTTGTTGTAGCTGGAGTTGTCGCTCATTAAGCATTTGCTCACTGCTAGACTATGAGTCCTCACTGTGACTGGCAATGTGAAGATGATGAGTGGAAGACCAAAAAAAAAAATCATAATAAAGGGAGGCACAGGCAGAGGAAGCACTTCAACTAAAAGCTTTGTAATTAGAAACAGTGATAATTAGTCAAATGGGAGATTAATGGGCAGGGATAAAATTATTTCTGAACTATTTAAATGAAATGGGCAAAAGTGTATATGAAAATCTCACCCTTGATGATGCTGGCCAGAAGATGCACTAAAAATACAAATGGGGACGTTAAGCAGCACGCCGAATTTCAAGAACAAATGAGAGGACCAATGTGTTCAATTACTTCAAAGTTGGGCTGGACAATATGGCTGAAAAACATATCACAATGTAAGAGTTTCATATCAGTCAATAGATAATTATTTATTGGGTTTTGATTTAAATATATGAAATGTGGCATTCTTTTAATTCTCCACACACTATTGACTACATTGTGGATTAGCACTGATGCTAATTTTTTGCATCACAACACTGGGTTTCAACCGACGAGCACACTTTGGCAGTTTAAATTTACTTGTTATTAATTTGGTGTTAATAGATGAGTGTTTTGTTTTTTTTTCTGGTAATGAAATGCCAAGAAGTATAAATCAGATTTTTAAATTTGTGTGCTGAATGTCTGTTTTATAATTGTCACTTTTCTGCAAAATTCACCAACTGCACAATTCTTCAGTAGTATTTCAAAAGAGCAGAAGAAATCTTATGTTTTCTGAACAATAACAATATTTGCTCTTAATCTGTTGCTAAGAGATGAGCGCGATTTCTGGTAACCAAGTGCCACAAAGTAAATATCAAATTTTTGCTTTGGCAAAATCTATCAACCGTAAATTTCTTCTCTGAGCAGATAAGCAGTATTTCAAAAGAGTGTATGTTTTATGAACAATAATTAGTTTAGTGTTAAGAAATGAGCGTTTTCTTCTTGTAATGAAATGCCACGAAGTATAAATAAGAATGAATGTCTGTTTTATAATATATTTACCATCAATGACAAAAACAAAAAGAAACATTTTGTTTTCTGCAAAATTCACCAACTGCACAATTCTTGTTAAGTAGTATAAAATAAGTAGTGAATGTCTGTTTTATAATTGTCACTTTTCTGCAAAATTCACCAACTGCACAATTCTTCAGTAGTATTTCAAAAGAGCAGAAGAAATCTTATGTTTTTTTGAACAATAACAATATTTGATTTTAATCTGTTGCTAAGAGATTAGCACATTTTCTGGTAACTAAGTGCCACGAAGTAAATATCTAATTTTCACTTTTGCAAAATTTACCAACTGTAAATTTCTTGTCTGAGCAGATAAGCAGTATTTCAAAAGTGTTAAGAGAGTTAATCCATTGCTAAGAGATGAGCGTGTTTTCTTGTAATGTAGTGCCACAAACATTAGCAATAGCTTCTGCCCCCATTAGCAGTAGCCTTTTCCCTAAAATAAGCTATTTAGCTATTTTTTTAAATTTATTAGCCATGTTTAGTACACTGAATGGAGGAAGTCCATGTAAGACAACATGCTAATTATACCCCACATATACACCACACATTAGAAGATTATAAGGATTTGCAAAAATTATTTACCCTTGTATTTTTATATAAACACATGGACATTGCAAAAGTGTAAACCTTTTTGTACAAAGAATGACAACAAAATATTTCCATTATTTATATATATATATATATATATATATATACACATATGACTTTTAAAATGCTTACAATTACAAATATCACAACAACAAAATAAAAAAAACTTACAGGTCACGTGATAGTCTTGCCTGAAGCAGGAATCCATTTCTTCTTTTCTGCACTGGACAAGTATAACATTTTAATTTTATGGAGCACAGATGATTATTTCAGCAACATAAAATTTAGTTTAACTCTAGTTCTTACTAGTAACTTTTAACTCGGTGACGTCACACGCTTCCAGGACTTTCGGCTTGCCACGTCGGAGAAGCTGGCGCACAAAAGTAGACGTATTTTTTACTTTTGTTTTAATCAGTCCAAAGTGATTGTAGCTACTCAGCATGACAGTGATACGATTAGGAACAGGCGAGGGATTACAAAACCTCCAGTTTTATTGTAATAGTTCCTGCAGTGCACGGCAATACTGGCGGAAAGGTGGCGTCGGTTTTTAGTATCACACGGGAAACTGCCATCATTACAAACTAGCTTGAATAGCGGACCAATCAGGTGAATTCGGGGGAAAACCGGACGTAATCAGGGGCGTTTCTGAAAGTGTGGCAGGACGGGAGGGGCCGAGACAGCGAGAGGAAAATACTGCAAGCAGCCCTGTGCAACAAGCGTGTAACAAAGCACCAAATATGTTAGTATTCCTCCCTGCCCTACTGTCAAGAAATATGTCAAAGAAAATATGTTCTTTGTCCTTAATTTTTTTTTTTTTTTTTTTTTACGGTGTATGTGGAGTAGGACCCAAATGCAGATCAGATTGAGGCAGCATGTGGCGAGGATTTAATGAAAAAGTAAAAAAAAAAAAAAAAAAAAACACACAGTGGGATGTAACAGGGAGCAAGAACCTGGTACATAAAGTAACAGGAAAAACCAGAAAGGAGTGAGAGGAGGAGATATGTGATTTGAGACGGGAAAGTGAATGTTGGAAGAATGGTTGATTAGCTAATGGGTTGCAGGTGTGAGGGGAGAGAGCAGAAGGCAGACTAAGGAGAGAAAGAGGAAGAACAGGCAGAGGAGGTGAGAGAGTAAATAAACAGGGGACTGTCAAATCAAAACTCAAGACAAAAGAACTGAGGACTAAAACTTAATTAAAATAATTAGAAGAGACTGAACTAAAGTAGAATAGAATCAAGGCTGACCTGTTCAAATTTAGAACTAAGGTTGTCAAAATTGAGGTTGTCAATTTTGACAACTTCCCTGAGGTTGTCAAAATTGACTTTATTGGCAATATATTTACAGGGTAAGAGGAGAAGCATGTCGGTCAACATGTTTAAGATTTTTACTGGACAGTATTAAATTGCATAGGTAATGTTCAGTGTGATTTTACAAACAGTATAAAGTTGTGTTAATCTACATACAGGCTAAACAGAGGAGTTGTAGTGTACCCTGTTGAGGAAAGAAACAAAGATGCAGAAATTAGAGTGCAACAAGTGCAGCACACACAACTAAGGCTATGATGAAAACTTTATATCTGAGTGCAGGTCTCAACTGAACTTATGAATTCAGGTGCATGGAGTAAACGTGGTCCAAGCAGCTCTCATTCACAGATGCAGAGAAGTCTGTTCAGTCTTGTAGAACTTTAACGTAGTTATCATTTTCTATGAGCGTTCCCTTCAGAAAAGATCCTTTTAGCCTTTTGAGATCAAAGCTATCAACTGTTAATAGCCCCCTGTTAGTAGCTATAAATAATGTAATCACAATGCACCATCAGGCACAAATATTAGTTATATTTAGTTATTTTTTATGTTTTCATTTTTCATTGCACCTGGTAAGCAAAATAACTGCATCCTTCAAATCTGCTAATTATCACTCTCTCTGAGAATGAGTGGCTGTTTTTAAGAGAAATGTTCAACATCGAAAATATTTATGCATCAAAATTATGATTCAGTGGACTGTTCGGTTTTCAGTACATTACATTTTCTACCAAACGTAAAAATCTTAGTTTCTCCATCTTCCCATCCACAAATGTTTGATTTTAAATACTTCTGCATTCACCATACCCAGGAGGTGGAAAATTAAAACATGTTTGCTTTTGCATCAGGCTTTACAAGGGCAACACATTCTCAGCTACAGCTATATAGCTCCCTCAAATCTAGAAACAAACATGATAATAATGCTTTTTTTGGCTTGCTGTCCAATGTTAAAGTTTTTCTTTACATTAAATGGCACAAATTGTAGTGTGTGCCGAAAAATTCCACAATATGTAAAACCTATGCTAAGAGCAAGTTTAATAATCACAGGAGAGCCATATACACTTAAGCACAGATTAAATGCATTGTTTTATGACTGACTGACTGACTGACTGAATGGGAGTTAGTGCATCATTTGTTCAGGCCTCTCCTTCAGCTCATCCATGCACTCTTATTGTCAGAATGTTGCTGCAGATCGCCTCATATCATTAATCAATTATTCACCAGTAGGCCGTTAATGTTTAATGAGTGAGGCTGCTGCGGTCAATTACTAATGAATTGTGGGCGTGGTGAGAAAGCTCAGAGAAGAAACCAAAAAACTACTCAGAATGGGTACATGTGTACGTAAGTGAAAAAGGTAAACGCATTGTAAACAGACATAGATGATTCATGCTTTCAAAAAATTTACATATTTCATGCTACATAGATGTACTGCTCTTGATATATTTTGTTAAACCAATACACTTCCACATGATTCTGTATAAATATACCTATAAAGACAAATATGAAAACACAAATTCAAAGCATTCCAGTCAGTAAAATTGTTTGCAATTTCAAGCAATTATGTGCTGTAATTTTGTAATTACAATCTTTTTATTTATTTATTTATTTATTTATTTATCAAAGAAATTGATAAATTACAAAGACCATCTAATTTCTCATAAGTTGGCAGCAAACAAAGTTCAAGTGTAACGCACCCCGGACAGAAGGTCGTTCACATGAGTCATTGACAAAGTGTTTAATTTGTGTGTGCATGTAAGAGGGAGTGTGTGTGTGCATACATTTGTGTCTGTGTGGGACTGGTGAGCAGATGAACAGTAGACAGGTCAGTGCTTGTCCTGTGAAGTGTGTGTGGCCTGCAGTCTGTTGGCCATGCCTCCGTAACCAAGATAATTAGAGAGCAGCCCCCTGTTAGGAGCTATAAACAGCTTAAACACAATGCACCATCTCAGACACAAATTGTATTACTTTGTCATCTAAACTACATTAAGGACATTTAATAGAAAAATTTGTATATTTCTTTCAGCTTTTAGTAGAGCAATGAAAGACTTCCTCAAAGTACTAAAGTTATAACATCTTTAGTTCACTGTTGTCATGTACTCAAATGCACGTAAAGAAACAAAAATAACCTGCTGACACTTTGAAACGTTATTAATTATTTTATTTATTCCATTTTTTATTATAGAAAATCCCTCAAATCAGATAAAAGCTCAGATAAAAGCGCTAATATTCATTATATACGGTAATTGACTTATATAACCAATTATATTTCATTGCATTTATCAAATATAATTTTTGACTTATTCTGTTATCCATTTCTGTTTCCAACTTGGCCCAATCAGTTTGGATGGACAGCTGCTGAGAGGGAAGTTTTCAATCCTTCCATCAGATTCTCAATCAGATTTGGGTCTTGACTTGAGAGCGCCATTCTAACACATCAGTAGACTTTAAGCTACTTCATTGTAGCTCTGGCTGTATCCCTAAGAGTTGGAATCCTGCTGAAAGTTGTACCCCAGTCTAAATTTTTTTGTTAATCTTTTGCTTCCATTACTGCCCTCTGTCCATAGCCCCATTAACTCATATGACCTTTATTGTCTTTACTAAAGAAAAAGAAGAAAACATTTTCGTGATGTCATCACCATGGAGATGGCGTTGTTTGACCAAATGACTTTCTTCTGTACATTTGCTGTGGCCCCCAACATGGTGGCTTGTGGAAAACTGGAAATGGAACTTTGACAAATATATGTCCAGTAACCTATTCTAAAGCATTGATGATCACATTCTCCAGAGTTTTTGGTTGTAGCACAATCAAGTGATTATGTTGCCTTCAGTTGTCATATGTCAAGTCAAGTTTATTTGTTTTGGTTTATCATATAAAATGCCAAGAATATTGAAGTTTAAACAAATGGGAAAGCAATTAAACAGTCTAACTGCTTTTGTGAGGCATTGTATTTTTTCTTTGGTCTCTAAAATAACAGACACATGTACTGTTTGTTTGTAAAATAACAATTACATCTTATGTCAGTGAAGAACTGAGGCAAGGGAATGTGTTCCATGCTGTTTTTCAGCAAGATTACCCAGAAATCCTCTTGCCAGATTTTGTGACACTTGATGGAGCCATGGGACAGATAAAAGAGGAAGCTATTTAACTTTGGAGCTAGTCCAGATAACCTTCTTAAAAACTCTGAGAGAGGATATTGGCTTTGATGGAAGCTACAGCCTCAGAGTGCACTTTTAATTAGGCTTTTCACAAAACAGGGAGGTATTTGTTTATAAAGAAGAATCATGCAGGAGTAACATTATGAAACCCATTCCTTTGCTATATTTCACACTTTGGGTTTTCTATTATTTCTCATTTTCAACCACATTCTTCCTCATCAAATACTATTAACTATAGTATTAGATTAAGGCCTTTGAAAAAGGGCTTGAAAAAAGGCTTAGGAAAAGTATTCTTTATTTCAATTATCACAATATGTGTTTGTCTCTGCTGTAACTGGGTGCTTTTTTTCTGTTTTGGGATTTTCTCTGTTTCAGCTGTTTGCCTAAACAACAGGACATTATGTCAAGACCGAAAGGAAGAGAGAAAACCAACAACAACTGATGACATTGCTTGAGCCGTACTGACAATACAGACAATAGGTTTTAAACTCCAGTTCAAAATTTCACGCATGCCTTTGGAATGACTGTTTTTCTTTTTGTAAGATTATCCGCCAATTAGATCATATTTGTTTGTGAAGTTGTGTAAGTTGTCTCTTTACAAAACTTTGAGAGAGATAATTGTGTGTCATGCAGGATTTTTCCTAAATCTTGTACGGCAAGTAGGTTGTGGAGTTGGTAGAAGTTTAAAAACTACAGTTCATTTATTGATTAACTGAACCAAGCTTCAGCTGGGTTGTTGATGGCCAGATCCTTCAGGAGCCTTCCACATATAGTACATATTTCTAGCACAATTAAAACCATTAAAAGAAGTAAATTATCTGTGTACAACTGTGCTAATCTGCTCCTGTGAAAATTTCAGTTCTCCTGGATTGAAAACCAAATGAATGCATACACCTTAATTTTCTCATAAAATATTAAAGGATTATTTATTTATCCCTTAACCCTATTAGATAAGATTATTTGTGTAATTCAGAAGTAGGTACTTGGATTTTGTTCATATTTCGGCCAAACTGCGGCACAAATTCTCAAATCTCACATCAAATGCCCACAAGAGAACTCCCAAAATACAAACGATGCTTATTAGCTCCTTATTTGTGTTTCTATCTAAACAACATGTAACGTCACCAGCCAAGTTAAATGCTTGTTACTAAGCCTATTGTCTGACAGATACTCGGCACACTTCTGAGCATTCTCACTCCTCTGTTGCAAGTCTTCATCCGTCGTAAGGCCAGGACAGGACAGAGGACCATGGGAAATGAAGCGTGGTTAATTCTATTAATGCGAGGACACAAACAATCTGTGGGGAATCAAAGACTGAGGAAGCAAAATCCCAGAGGACCTTCTTCCTGTTGTTTGGGCTGGAGCAGTTCACCGTTATGAAGCAGACTGTTAAATTCCTCCGCAAGCCCAAAAATATACATGCATAACAACTCACCAGTGGAAATAGTTTCATGTTATCAGGATGTCCGTATTTATCATGCTGATTTCTTCCTTCTTTCTTTCTTTGATTTTTCCTTCATTTCTTCCTTTCCTTCTTTCTTTCATCCTTTTTCCTTTTTTCTTTTTTTCTTTTCTTTTCTCTCTCTCAGTATTTCTATGGGGAAAGGCACAAAGCTCTCTCGCTGAGCGACCCTTATGGGACAAAGCTGGTTTTCTGGGCTTTTTGCATATATGCATGCCATGCAGACAATGAGGCCTTTATTAGAGTGGCCAGCATATCCGAGCTGGAACGGCAGGGACCAGGGATGAGCTCCTAGAAAGCTGTGATTGACAGTGGGAACAGTGAGAAGTGTGCATGTCTGTGTGTCCGATTCCCACATCCACTTTCTCATATGTGTGTGTGAGAGTGTGTCACAGAGGTGTGAAGTGGAAGCTCTTACCCGTCTACTCCTTCAGTGAAGTAATCAATATCTTTCCCCACAGTGTTTCTCCATACCATGTATGTCCTGCAGGACATACATTGAAAACATCTCAGCCAAAACTTCCTGCCACAAGACATCTGCATACATAGCAGACAAAACAACACGCCAGGGTCTTTGAATGTAATCAAAAGGGGACCCTAAGCAAGTCCTCACATGGTGTATGTCTAAGCACTTGAGTAACTTTTACAATACATAAATCAGGCCTCTAGTCTGAGTGTTGGTCTGTATGTAGGTGTGTGCGTGTGTGTGCGCGTGTCTGCGTGTGTGCATGTGTGTGTGTTTGAAATTGTGATGTGCATTTGTGTTGAGTAGAGAGAGAGAGAGAGAGAGAGAGGATGCTCTTTGACTCAGTCATGCGTGAAGAGGATTTTCTGTTCAATAGCAGCTTCAAACTTGCATACTTGCATCCTAATGAATCTTTGAGCATAATCATACAAACTGAGTATAGATGTGCAGATGTGTGTTTGCGCATGTACACACATTTATGTGCTGTTGCATATAACACCCACAAAGATCACTTGAGCTTCTTGTTTTGGTTCTGATGTTAGCCAAAATGTGGATGGAGAGAAGGGAGCCCTTAACATTGCTTTGCAAAATTTGTCAAACCACTTAAGCCTTTTCACATTTTGATATGTTACAAACACAGACTTCTCTTTATGTTAATTAAATTTTATTCTTTTTGCACTTCTGATCGTGCCATAACTGTGGAGTGGAGGGAAACTGCTACGAGGTTTTTAACATTAAAAAAGTCTGGCATACTTTGATACACTTAAAATGCCACATAGTGTTTAGAGGCCACTTGACTGGGCCTGTGGTAGTTGTGGAAGAGCTGCAGAGATCAAGAGGTCAGATGGAAAAATTGACAAAACAATTTTACAATTTGTGCTCGTATATGGAAGAGTGGCAAGAAGAAAATCATTGTTGAAAGAAGAAGTTGTTTGCAGGGTGCCACACTCCAAACAGGGAAGTGGCCACATGAGACCCTGGGCACACGAGACCAAACTCTTTTGACTTCTTCCATACCACTATGTACAGTTGAAAGCTAACACCGTACATCAACTGGAACCTGCACCATGCAAATAAAACACAATAGTTGTAGCGTCATGCTGTGGAGGTACTTTTCTTTATCAGGAATTCTGGCTGGACCTTAAAGTTCCAGTATGTCACTTAGACAGTATGTCTTTTACATGATCATATAGTATTTCCTAAAACTGTTACCATGTTATGACAGCATAACATGAAACAGTTAATCTGTGAAAAAAAACAAGCTCCTCTCTGTCCTTCCTGTGATCCTACTGCTATCTGAAGAAATCTACCGCTTCCAGTCAGAAACAACCAATCAGCCAAGAGGAAGATCTTAGCACTGTTAATCACAGTAGTGTAAGCTGCTCAATGCGCTAATGGCAGAGAAACAACTGACCTGTTCCAGGAAAATTGTTTATTAATTTGTTCATCGGCGGTCTTGCTAACTAGCCTGATCATTCACAGCAAGCTCCTGTATGGGGAGCTAGCTCTAGTAGAGAGCAAGAGGGAGAAGTTGTGATCAGCGTGTACACAAGGTTGATTGACAGGGCTAAGACCCTTCTCATGGCTTTGATTGGCTGTGTCTGACAGGGAGAAGTGTATTTCTGCAGATGGCAGTAGGACTGTAGGGATATAACAGTTTTGACAAATATGTAAAAAACATGTTGTTCATAAAGTTACATGGAACAAAATACATTCCAGCTCCGTAAGAAAACCTTTTAGAGGATGCAAAAGGACTTGAGACAAGGGAAGAGGTTTCCCTTTATACACAATAATAATTGAGCCATAGCTGACAGAATGGTTTATGAAAAACCATGTCAGATTTTATGTTCAGAATGGCACAGAATGGATTGACTACTTTGGCCTTAATACAGTTGAGAGTCAGAGGCTAGATCTGGTTACTGGGGTTCACAGAGCCTCTCCATCTAGTCTGACTGAGTTTCATCTATTTTTCTAAGAAAGATGGGAAGACATTTTGGTCTCTGGAAGTGCAAAAGCTTCCATTTATTATAAAGGTGGTTTGACAAATCCTTGACTCGTGGGGGATGAATACAAAAGGATGCAACTGCTTTCTTTGATAAGCAAAAAATAATTAAAAGCCATGCATGTCCTTCCGCTTTAAAATGTATTCTACTTTGTATTGGAGATCTCTGAATGTGATCAGCTCCAAAGCTGGATATTCCTCTCATCTGAGGAACGCAGCTGTGGTCTTGAAATGTGCTTGACTTAGTTGGAGCATGGACAGCATGCTTAGTGCAGTTTTCCCACTTATTTTTCTACTGACCTCAAAGAGTGTAATAATGTGTTAAAACATTAATGGAGCTTTTCTTTCAAAAAAAAAAAAAAAAAAAAAAAAAAAAAAGAATACGAATTTCTGGTCTGCTAGATGTGCTTTGAGTAAGATGCAAGGACGCAGAGATGCTGTTGGATTCAGCACCTCACACACGCATGTAAGATATTCACTTGCGGGAGCATGTCTGACAACCCCACACCCCTCTTCCCTTACCTCTTTTCGCACTACATCAGTCTTGGACCTTACTCACTAAGGCTTGAGTTGTTGTTCTGAGAAGTAAACATGTGCTATGGGACGTGAATGGCTAAGTTATCTTTTTATCCAATAAAAATGTCTTCTCGCTGGATCGATTGTTGTTGCTAGGAGACTGAAGCATCCTTTGGCAAGGGGCTACATCTCTCCACGTCTGTTGTTTCCCTCCCGTCTCTCTTTCTCTCTCATTTTTTTTCTCTCTCTCTCTATCTCTCACTCACTTTCTCTATATACCTCGTGTACGCGCGTCTTCTTACACGTGCGCTTGCACATACACGCGCACGTCCACGGAGCTGGCGCGCTGAGCAGTGGCGCCCATCCTCTCCCTCAGTGCGACTCCTCCGAGGGATCAGGAGTAGACTAAGTCAAACTTCCAGAGGCTTAAGATTTGTGCGCAACCCTCGAAAAGGATTGAAGTCCTCAAGGTAGGTCCAAAAATTTTACACATTGCTCACTGGCGGGCTGTTGTGAAGCAGTATAAGATTACAGGTTAGGGGCGACAGAGTGCAGAGGAAAAATTGACAGTCCGAGAGCGTTCAAGTGCGCGTCAGCCATCCGTTTGGTGGGGAGCAATTGCTTTGAACTTTGCGCAGGATTTGAACACCCAGTTGTTCTGCACGCACGTACTTCTTATGCTTTTCGTTTAATCAGATACAGATAGCGATCTAGGGGTTGTGATAGAGAGGTGGGGGGAAAAAAACCCTCGAAGCTAATATCTGCAGGAGATGGAGGATAAAGATAAAAGGGGGGCTGAACAAAGAGTATCTGCAGTTGCGTATTTTAGTTACACCTTGAAGTTTTTTTGGGTTCAGAGAAACAGCTCTAAGGCATGTCCCTCAGCTTTAGGCGTCCCATAGGGAGACAGGGGAGGGGGAGTGCGCTTCTAAAGGCGTACAGGTGGATCAGAGAAGCGGATCAGCTAACTGTTTGTCAGCAGCATTACTCTCCCAACAGCCGCCCCGCACCTTGCGCCAGAGGACATGCGCATGGACCAGGGCTGCAAAATGTGGCTGTCCTGATGTGATTTTGCTGACTTTAGACAAGGACTCCTTAATGCACGAGCAAATTCGTGGTTTCCATATGCAAATGTATTAATGTAGCAAATACGTGAACTTGAAAACACATGTGGTCCACAGTGATTACTCCCAAACAAACCTTATAATTTACCTGCAGTGGGGGCATAGGCGTAAATCCCGGGGGGTCGGGGAGGGTCAGGACCCCCCCCCCCTCCCCAATCTTTGGAAAATTAAAAAATTTCCCCCCCCCCCCCCAAAAAAAAAAAAAAAGAAATCATAAAAGAATATCGATATAAAAAAAGGCAATAGAAACAAAGACTGAAGTAAATCTGCCATTCATCTAAGAAAAAAAAAAATAATTTTTAGGTCCCCCCTACTAATGTTAGAACAATGGTTCAGTCCAAAGTGAAGGAAGAGCAACAGCTGCGCTGCTGAATGGTACAGGCTCCGTCAGAGCCGCTGAAGTGAGGAGCTAGCTGTTGCTGTGGCTGTGTAGCACTAACAAAAAGCCCTCCAGTAAGTAAATAATTAAAGCAAAAGACATGTAACACTTTATTTACTTTCACTGCTCAATAGGAAGAAACACATTGACAATAAACAGTTCGTTATTTCATTACTTTACCTGAATCATGATAGACTGCCACCTTATGCCTTGGAAATCAAAGCTAGCTAAACTGCTACATTGCTTTCATAGACTTGGCTCCTTTTCTGTCTAAGGTAGCCAATATTTAAATTATATTTAACTCTCTAACTCTTACTTTAATAAGAAGAGTTTGAAACTGGAGGGAGCGGCTGAACGTTAGCACTAGTCAACAGCTCCGTATGGGAGCCGAGAGCAGAGGGGCTACTGCAGCTTGCTTACTTACTGCAGCTGACGGTAAAAAAAAGAAAAAGAAAAAAGTATGCCTTTATTTCTTAACATCTTCAACGTAGAGCCTT